ACACACACACACACACACACACACACACACACACAAAATAAATAAATAAAAATAAATTAAAAAAAAAATACAACCCATGCTTAGAATCATACAATCAATTAACTTAAATTATAAGGCCACGTTTCTCTCTCTGAATTTATACTTTAGTCCTTATGTCCAGAAGAGTAAGAAAGCCTGGTCCAAGGTCATTGTTTTTTAGTTTTTTCTTTCCTGTGTTCACAAAAGGCCATTTTCACCTTTATGCTTCATAATACCTAGAGTTGTTAAGATTTTTTTTTTCCCATTTATGTATCTGATACAGGGTCTCACTATACAGCTTGAATTCGTAGTGATCCTGTTTTAGGCATGTGCCACCACACCCTGATTTGTTCACTGGTTGCTGGCTCAGCATGCCCCAGAGGTGTGGCATGTGTGGCAGTGAACAAATTCCGCTCCCTGTGCTTGCTAAAAGAAGGCCTTTAGTCCGCTGAGCTATTTTACCAGCTCAGTTTTTACACATTTAAAAAGGGCTGTTCAGAGAAAAAAGAAGATGGGAGGAGAGGACTGGGATGTGCATGAGTGAGTTTGGACAGACAAAAACACACATACAAGGTGGGGTGTGTTTGCCAGAGACCAGACTATTTACAACTTAGCACTTCAGCCATGTTCATCTCATCAGTTTTTTTTTTTTTTTTTTTTTTTTTAAATTGGGGGGGAGCAGGGTCTCTATGTAACTCAGACTGACTTTGAGCTCACAGAGGTCCTCCTGCCTCAGCCTCCTAGAGTGCTGGGATTACAGGAGTGCACCACCATGCCTGGTTTTCCTGTGTTTATAAAGATTTCCATTAAAAAATTTTTTTACATTACTCAAAGACCAACATAGAATTTAGAACACATCTGTTGGGGCTGGTGGGATGGCTCAGTGGTCTAAAGCACCTACTTAGAACAAGCTTCGCAAAGCACAGGGACCATGGTTCAATCCCCCAGCACCACATGCCAGCCAGCCCCGCCTCCTGGTGGGCTGAAGTGGCCACACACACACACACACACACACACAAAAAAAAAAATAAAAAAAAAAAAAAAATCTCTAGAACACATCTGTTGGTTAGAAAAATTGAAAACCAGTAAAAGAAACCAGGTATAACTATTTTGGGGTGCATTTGTGTGTGGGGGGAGCAGGTAGGGATAGTAAGGAGTGACCCAAGCCTTCACAGGTTAAGCTACATCCCCAGACTTTTTCTTTTGAGATAGGGAGTAAGTTGCTAATGTTTGGGCTCACATCTGCAATCTTCCTGCCTTGTCCTTCCAGAGTGCTGGAATTACACATACATGTTAGCACACCAGGTTCTGGTTTACCTTCCTAAGGTAAATGTCTTACTCAATTTACAGAGGTCCTTTATAAATTGAAACAGTTTAAACTCACTTCCAGATCACTGTCAAAATGAACATAGATACTGAACAAAAACATCACACTTGGGCCAGGGAGATAGCTCGCTGCCAAGTCCAAGAGTCCTGAGTTTGATTCCAATCACCACCAGCACCACGACCACCACCACCGCAAACCCCTCCCCCCAAAAAATCACCCTTACATCAGTGCTTTCATTGCTGGTGTTCTCTTCCCGCTTTCTTTCTTCCTCCTCCTGTTCCAGTTCCTTAATGCTCTCTTCCAGAACATTGGGCCAGAAATCACCCTCGAAGTACGGTAATTCCTTTGCACTTGTTAATCGGTCTTCAGTAGCTTGTTTAAAAATATCCTATGAAAATATACAAGCACAAATAGAAATTTCTGTATTTCCTTTTTTTGCAAATAGAGCATTGATTATATGATGTTAGAAAAAAGTAAGATGAAAACGTCTTTTGTAAGTTGGCAGAGATTTTGTACCTAAGCCATAATGTCATGAACACTGGAAGTCCTCATCCAAAGTCAGTATTTCTAGTGTTCTCCTTCCTGTATCCACGAAGACAGGGGTATTATCTGCCTCTACAAAGTGGTGAGTTGCCTGCCTTGCCCCAAATAGGTAAAATCATACACATCCACACTGTGACCTTTGGCCTTTCCTATCCCCTATCATAGAGATAGGATGCAGGACAGGCCATGACTGATACTTCAGCAGCCTTAAATGAGGACTACGTTGCTGCTTCAGAATGGCTGGGCTGCTTGGGAAAATCTCTAGCTGACACTTGCTTTCACTCAGTACAGTACTTGGGATTATCATACGGTTTATATTCACCAATGTTTAAAAATAGCACACTTTTTTTTTTTTTTTGCAGAACTGGGAATTGGACTCAGGCCCTTGCGCTTGCCAGGGAAGCGCTTATTCCACTGAGCCATCTCCCTGGCCCCTAAAATGACACACTTATTAAGAGTGCATTTTTAATTGGTCACAATGGATTAGCTATAAATGCTAATAGCAAATTTTTGTCACTTTGAAAAATTTCACATAAACACAATACTTTGTCACACTGGCATAATTTTGTGGATCACATGGAAGAGGTAGAGCCTGCAGAAGGCTTGTTAAAATAAAGTGATGGACAGTACACTGCCATGGTCTGACTGACCTTATAGTCATGGACAATCCGTTCAGACACAGCCTTGTCAAGCATTTTTTTGTACCACTCTTGCAGTCGCTTGGGCTTGGGTATCTTCTGGTCAGGAGGATGGCAATGGAAGATATAATCATCCCCCTCACTTGGTGGACAGGCCCAAATATGCCCTGTTGTATATCTGAGAAGACAAAAGGAACATTCAAATAAGATCACCCATTCTGCAGAGTGCTACACTTCACTGAGGAGATCACAGGGTCTCGTTACACCATCCAAGCTGGCTCCAAAGCCAAGGCTCAAGCAATTTTCCCACCATTGTACCACCACAGCAAAGCAGAATGTGACACTTTAAACCACAAGGTAGAGCGAATACTGAAACCAATGATTTCCTGCAGGATAGTGAACACTAAGCCCACAGGTCAGCACCACATCCAAATTCCTGAGAATTTTAGAAGAGTGTTGTGTACTTCATTTGAAAGAGCTCTAGATACAAAAACTCCAAATTTGCATATAAGAGTGAAAAGACAATACAAAAGAACACAAACCCATTCTACCAAGAGAGAGAGGTAGCAAATATTCCCCTTAGAAGGTGAAGAACACCTCCAGAACTTTTAAGTCTCATTCTGGTTTTGACACCCCAGTACTAAAGGATCTAAAGTTTAAATTTCTGCTGTCAAGTGAGTAACAAACCTAACTTCATTTCAACCTGTACATAGTGGTTTAATGAAAAAAATAAAATGAAAGCAGAATGTGTGAACCAGAGAAAGTCTTTTCTTCGTATTGGCAATACTAATTTCACAAAAGGCTCTGCTAAAGTTGAGACTATAGTTTTCCTAGAGAAGAATGCAGGACATGAAAAAGTTACCTATTTTTGGCCTACATCCCACCACAATAGTACATAGGTGTTTTTTTTTGTTTTTTTTTAAGAAAAAGCCATTATATATGCTTACCCTAATTTCTTCACATACTCTAAATATCCGATTAGAATTTCATGATAGACTGCAGTCCTCAAGCATTTAGGGCGGAAGAAATGAACACTATCGAGGTAAGATATATACACTCTCCTATATTCAACAGGGAGAAAAAAAACATCATATAATGAGTTACTCTATGCAGCTAAAAAGACAAGGCTCTCATCCCATGCCTTCTGCCTGTAATGTCATTTGGAATGCTTAATAAATGACTGGGCTGACCCCTTTAGGGAAGTCTATGAGCCTCTGGCTACACTGTGTTTATTTTTTGTCTTTTTGAGACAAGGTTGTACTATGCTGTTCAGGCTGGCTTTGCGCTCACTTTGTAGCCCAGGCTGTTGAACTCTTAATCCTCTTGCCTCAGTCTCCCAAGTTGTGGGATTATAGGTGTGTGCCACCATGTCTGGCTTCACTGTATTGTAACACTCAGTAGTAACAAGCACACACTAGACCAATCAGTATTTGTTGATCTGAGTGCATTTTGATAAAAATTTCCATCCTGGCTTTTATACTGTTTTGAGAACTTTGTCTAAACCATATCCTACTTCATTTGTGTAACATTCTTACACATAACTATCATTTGCAATACGGATTCAAGCCTGTATTTTGAAACCATTGAGTTTGTTTCCAATTTCCAACTTCTAGCTGCCATTCACATCGTTTTCCATCTCAGGAACTTGTGCTTGTGAGGCAGGTGCTTATGCCGCTGAACTATCTCTCCAGCCCACACATCATTTTCCATATAAAGATAATATCCCTGGGGCCGGGGAGATGGCTCAGTGGAATAAGCGCTTCTCTGGCAAGAGTAAGGGCCTGAGTTCAATCCCTGGTTCCGCCACAAAAAAAAAAAAAAAAAAAAAGTCCCCCCCCCAAAAAACCAAAACTATATATATAGAGAGCAGTTATTTTGTATGTTTTAAAAATTTTTCACTTTAGTAATACTGAATTCTTGAGATTTTTACATTTCCAAACCGAGCACACTAAATATTTTCCTGTCTCTATCTATGCTTTTATCTGAAACTACCAAAAAAATGAGAAGCTAGCCATAGTCAGTCCTACCTCTGGTTGGGTGGAGGGCAATCAGAGCCATACTCTTGAACGTGCATACCGAAGAAACACAAGTCAACACCATCAATTTCTTCAAAGGCAAAGAGAGCTTTGGTTCGGTATGGAAAGGATTCTGCCATCTCTCCACTATCTACAAACCTATATAATTCAGATGGGGGTGGGTAACCACAACATGTCATTCAGGTTGGAATCATGAGTAGTACTTTTTACATATGAATAATTATGGATCCAAAAAAGAAAAGAAAATTACTACTAAATACCTTGCTTTCATGCCTGGTTTCACCTCCACAGTTTTGTCAGAAGCATGAACAACCCTAACAGTAACCTCTCCTGATTCAGGGTGATTTTGTCGCCTCAGAAAGTCATTCACACGATTCTCCAGAAAGGTTCCAAGCCTGGTAGATGGCAACCCTAGGAATGCGAAAGTTAAGGTAACAAGGTGGCCCTGGGCACAATATCTCATCTAGTGAGGGAAAAAAGTTAACAAGGTTTCAATTTCTATTGTCAGTCTTGAGGTTCCATCTGAAATCTAGGAATGAATGTTTTCCCAACACAAACAGATACCTAGCTCCACTGGGATGGGGGGGGGGGGGGGGAAGACACAGGGTCTCACTATGTAGCCCAGGCTGGCCTTCACCTCACAATGATCCTCCTGCCTCACTTCCCGAAGAGCTGGGATTATAGGTATGCACCACCATCCCTGGAGTTTTAAGTTACCAAGATAGCTAGGTACTTTTTAAAAATAACATTTTTGTCTCATCCTGGTGCCAGGTCATGCTGACCATTATCATTCCAATTTACATATATGTGCCTTTTTTTTTGTGGAACTGGGGATTGAACTCAGGCCCTTGCACTTATCAGGGAAGCACTTATTCTACTGAGCCATCTCCGTGGCCCTACATGCGCTGTTGAAGCAAGCATAACACTCTGCAATTTCTAAATGCTATTTCCCAGTAATATATATGTATGTTAGTATTTAGTGCAGGGTCTACAGGGACTACAGAGTCTTACTATATAGAATGGATGTGTAATGATTCTCCTGTTTTCAGCTTCCCAAGCGCTGGGATTACAGACGATTATAGATGTGTGCCACCATGCCCAGTCTCAACTGCCCCGGGGGCAGGGCTGGTACTGCAGGCTGAGGATCGGACCACCAACCTCTGCATCTGCCTAAGCAGGTGCTTTAATCTACTGAGCTATCTGGCCGGCTCCTAATTTTTTTTTTTTTTGAAGACAGGGGTCTCACTGTGTAATCCAGGCTGGCCTTCAACAAACATCCTCCTACCTCAGAGTTCCCCGTGCTGGGATTAAAGGTATGGGCCACCACACCCAGACCATTGTTTTAATTTCAGAGGTGTTGAAGCTGTACAACAATAAACACCTACGTTCATTTTTCCTAGATTATAATATTTGAAATGATTAAGCATTTAAGAAATAGTACAGGAGTCAAAGCAATCCTACAGACCAGTAAAATATTGCAAAGCTAAATCAAATACCGCAGTGAGATTAGTGTCAACTATCTGTTTGCTAGATTTCTCACACACTCTTCTCTGAAGGAAAAGATCATGCGAGGGCTAAGGGTAGCCCTAATAAGTAGCACAGACTAGAGCTTGGTACAGAGGCGCATACCTATAGTGTCAGCGATTTGGGAGGTCTAGGCAGGAGGATTCAAGTTTGAAGCCAGCCTGGGCAACTTAGTGACATATTGTCTCACAAGCAAACAAAACAAGTCCCTGGGATGTAGTTACATTGTCAAGAGTAGCACTTAGAAAGGCATGGACATAATTAATAGGGCTGAGGAGAAGGACTGTTCCTCTCAGGGGATTGTAATTCTGGCCACTCATTTCTATTTATGGCTCATGTAATGCAATGCTCCAAAGAAGAAATACAGGAAAAGTAAAACATGTATCTTATATATCTTGTGTATGTTAAAATCCTTTTTTGATAATTACTCTTTATTTGTGGTGCTGGGCTATTGAACTCAGGGTCTAACACATGCTAGTTAAGTGCTCTACCACTGAGCTACGTTCCCAGCCCAGAATATGTTCTTATTCTTAGGAATAATAGACTTCATACCCCAAAACACGTTCAGCTCAACTTTCAGCAGCTTACAGAATCACGTTACTTTACTTCGGTCATATATATATTTTTTTGATACCAGGAATTGAACTCACGATCTCACACTGGCCTGGCAGCTGCTGTGTCATTGAACTATATCCTTGGCCCTGATCAAATATTTTTAAGTAAGATTAAAACTAACTTATTTGGATGGTTTCTTTTCAACTATTGTTAAGAGATGTTATAGCAAGATTTACATGTAATAATACAGCTTACTTTTAGCAGAAAACTTATTTTCTTTCCTAGTTCGTGCAGTTTTCTTTAAGCATCCATCACAGAAAAATCTAAAATATAAAATAAGAATTTGGTTACATGATATATGTAGAGAAACATTACAGTGATACACTTGTGACAAATCTTTCATCTTAATAAGGCTAAAATTCAAATGACAACTTGGTACAAGTTTGTGTAAGTAACGAACAGCTAATATAAGCAATACTAAAACAGTTTTTAGAAGTCAGTACAGAAAATAATTAGCAAATGATAAAACAGGGCCAGAGAGTTAGCTGAGTAGAATAACCACCTGCGCAGGGTCCTGAGTTCAATCCTGGGGCGGGGGAGGGAGGGGAGAGAAAAACAAAACCAAACCAGCAATAAAACCAATGTTTTCCTAGTCAATTACATTGGTAAAAGTGCTAAGGGAAAGTACATCTCGAAAGCAGAACCAGCAGATGTGAAATGTATCAGGTGTGACTAAAATACACGGTGTGTAATTAAATAAGAATAGTTTACTACACCTACAGAAGATGGGAGGGAAAAAATAAAAGGGACTGGGATATAATGTGTATATGTACCAACGCATAAATGTGCTGTTATGTATGCAGACATTAAAAACATTGTCAATACCATACATATTACAGTAAGACACATTGCCAGTAATCCTCCCCTCCTTTCAAACACATTTGCCATTTTCTAAAATAGTTCTTGAAATTCTTCTTTGTGACTGTCTTCATGGGACATAACAAAAAATGTGAATGCTAAGCAAAGAAAGCAAATGCTGCTGCTGAGTGTCATCCAACGGAAAACCAGGCTTGTGCAAATACCATCGCGTGTTCTCGCATGCCTTACTCACCAGATCTGGTACCATGTAAATTGTAGCCCTTTGGTCAAAGTAAAAAAGACCAAAGAAGATATAAATTTGTCACAATATTGCAACTAAAGACATTTATAAAAGGGAACTTCTAAAACAACTTCAGAAAGTGGCAAGAATGGTGGGCCAGGTGTGCAAGGCAAGGTGTCAGATCTGTGCACAACTAAAATTGCTAGCCACGTGTGTAATCCCAGCCCTTGGAGGCTGAGGGAGTATGATGCTGTGAGCTCAAGGCAAGCCACCTGAGCTACATTACAAGACCCTGTCACAAAAATAAAAACAAAATCCAAATAGAAGCGCTTATCAAAACCAGAGATCAGCATCAATGGGTGTCTACGATCTAAAGCAAAAAATTTTTTAAATAGTATAAATCAGTAAGATATATGTTGGTAGAAAGCAGAAACAAACAAAACCACTATGGTCCATAAACGGTTGTACTGTAGTGAGGAACTTCAGTGGCAGGGCCAAAGTGAGAATTTCCCTTTGTATTTTACAAACTTTAACATTGCTA